CTGTCATGACGGCCATACACAGAGAGATTTTATATACAATCATATTGCCGCTGAACTTACTGGCTATAAGAATCATTACATGCAATCAGGAAGCAAAGGAAATAGATTCATCTTCCCTTAATGAAATGGCCACCATGAGAAGAATGGGGAGTAGAAGAAAAATAAGGTATTGAAAGAGTGAAAAGCCTGCAATTAACTCTTTGTAGATTGCCACGTTTCTAAACATTTCTAAAGGTGATTTGATTTAATTTTTATGATAAGGGTAAAATAATATTAATATTTAAAAAAAAAAAAAAAATAAATAAAATTCCCCTATTTCTCTTTTAATGCTCATATTGATCTTCCTTCTTTCCTACAGTCGGATTTTCCATCCAGGCAGATCACAATCATTGTGAATAAATCACTTATATTGAAATCAAGCAATGACACGGAGCAGGGGGGGGTTGATTTACTAAAACTGGGGAGTTCGGAATCTGGTGGGCTTCTAACTTCAACTTGTACAATTAAACTGTGACAAAAAAAACCTGGAAACTGAATAGCTTCCATGCACACAGTGCTGGGACAAGATTATCCAGGTCCCAAGATGCCAAACTGTTCTTTGCCCCCCCCCCCCCCCCAGATTCATTCATGATGTGCAAGCTTAGGGGACCCTACCCATAGCAATCACTCACTTGTCAAAATCACAGCCACTGTCACTACTCCTGTCAGGCATCCACATCCATACACTAAACATTGCACCAGGGCAGCCACCCCTCGCGCCCACCCCTTTCCTCGGCCCTGTGTGCACAGCTGCACCAGATTTTGCATTCTCCAGTTAGAGTAAATCAACCCCAATGTGTTGTTTCAATAATTCAAGAGAATGATCATATTGTTCAATTCAGCAAAGAATCATTCAGATTGCTATGTGCATAGCCACTATAACAGAGAAAGTGGTGTCATCCTTCTGGCTGTGGTGTGTGGCAGAGCTGTGTAGTTCTTAGGACTGGGTGAACAGAAACACAAATACAGTACTTTGGTAGTAAAAGTTTCTCCTTATGTTCTTCATCTGTTTAGTTAGAGGTTTGCCTGGAGTTCCTCTGTAAAGCAACATTTGAATTGTAATTGAAAATATTTAAATATACATATAATATACATTATACAATTAAAATAAACATTGATATCATTTTAAAAATATATCACTGATATCCAAAGGTTGATTTTCCAGCTTCTAACTGCATTGTAACGGTATTGTCTGCCCTTATGTTGAAAAGAGGTGTACAAACTGTTGGCGCTATATAAATCCTATATAATAATAATAATATGGAAGATGTTCTGAAAACCTCCCCAGAACTGACATTTGAAACTTGCCTGCAACCATCTTGACTGAGGGCACATTCTACTCATGTCCACACATGAAGCCATTTCTATTAGCCACATCCATTTCCTTTCCCAGCTGATAAAGAGGAGATTGATGCTGACCCACAATGCCGTCTGCAGCCTGTGCCCTATCCCTTAAAACAGGTCAAAGATTTATATGCTTTCTGCTTACTGAAAAGTCTCTGGTGCCTTGTCAGCCACTGTGAACAAGTGTGTTTCTGCTTGAGAAACCCAACAGCATGTCTCTGTAGCCTCTGCTCCCTATTCCCAGACCTGGCGAGAGGACACACATTACTCTCAAGCTTGCTGTCAAACCATATCCTGTACTTAGTTTAAAAACAACTGCAACTCAGAAGTGAAGGAAAAAGTGAGCAAAAGAAGTAACAAGTTAAAAAAAAAAGTAAAGGCACAATTATCGCGAGCAGAGAAATACAAATGAAGCTAATCAAAAGTGTAGTTTTGTCAAGCCTATGGTGAAGAGAGATTGGCGATATCAGTAGAACATGTCCCTTTAGGACAGGGGTGTCAAACTGGCGGCCCTCCAGCTGTTGCAAAACTACAAGTCCCATTATGCCTCTGCCTTTGAGAGTCATGCTTGTAACTGTCAATCTTGCAATGCCTCATGGGACTTGTAGTTTGGCAACAGCTGGAGGGCCACCAGTTTGACACCCGTGCTTTAGGAGATTTCTCCTGACAATTTTTTCCCCCCCCGTTAGATTAAGGAATAAGAATGAGTGAAATGTAAGCATTTATTTCACAAAAGTTAAGAAATGTCATTGAAATTTTGGCAAATAGATTGGTGTTAATGGGTAATATGAAATTAAAGTGGTTGTAAATCCTTACATATACCCAGTGAACTTAAAGACCTCAGGTGAAACAAATCCCCCTACATATGTTGTACCTGCCTATCTGCAGTCTTTTCTTTTCTACAGCCATTTAAAGTGCTGAATTTATAAAGCTTGTCTGGGAGTTCAGAAAATAGGGGTCAGAGAACTGAAATGATACTCTGCAGAGCTCAGTGAGGAGAGTTCTGAGATCAGATTGGAGGGAAGAGACACACCCTCCTCCACACAGCACACATGAGCAGAGCTGAGGCAGAGCTGAGGCTGTCAATCTACTGGAGGTCCCACCGTTGTCACCATTTTTCTCTTGGTGTCAGGAAAACTTGTCAAAAGTAACTTATGCTGATAATAGATGAACAAAGTAGCAGACAGAAATGACATGTAATGTTCTTAATTGACAAAAGTACACACTATAGAGGAATATGTTTTGTTCATATTTCATGTCTGAGGTTTATAACAACTTTAAAGTCTTTAGGGCCCTTTGAGGACCGCTCTGATGGACAGTTCCTATTGCCAATGTAAATTGCCCATGTCGTTAGACAGTGACGACACATTTAGCCAAACAGTCATTTCAGAAGTGGCCATCTTTGAGGTTTCAAATGATTCCAGAACAAAGGGACAATCTAACTGTGTACAGATAGAAAGTGGCTGCAGAAAAATGCAGTTCCAACTGTTTTATCTGATTAAATAGAGAAAGGTCAGTTCCCCACATAGTGCCTCTTAGCCAGGTGTACACTGACACATACATTTATGAGCACCATTGTCTCTGATGGATAGCCAACAGCTGCAAGGGTCTGAACAGGGGCGGACTGACAACTCATGGGGCCCCCGGGCATTAGGGGATCATGGGGCTCCTGTGTCATCGCCCACACCCAAAAAAGCCTATAAAAAAAGCCAATGAAAGGTACCAGGGGCATTTCATGGGGCCCCCTACTGACCCCGGGCCCTCGGGCAGTGCCCGAGTGCTCGAATGGTCAGTCCGCCCCTGGGTCTGAGCATACAAAGCACCTGATGTGCCGAAAAAAGACATTTTAAGGCCCCATGTACACAGGACACTTCTGAATGATGGAAACTGACTGCTGGAAAACGTAGGTTAAAAAATGTCTGTTTAGCTGCATTTGATTACCGCGTTTATGCGCATTTATGAGCGTTTGCATTTAGAAGCATTTTTTAAAGATAACCTCAGGAGACCAAAATGCCCAGAATGCACTGAAAAACAGTAAAAAATTAACTATTCCAGACATTTTGAGAGAAATAGAGAGAGCAGAACAGAGAGAGCAGTATTTGTTGAGATTAGCTGTCTTTTTTTTTTTTGTGGAGTTTGGATGTGTTTTTTTTAGCTCACTTCTGTGCAGAAATTATTGCAGCAGTGTCTAACATATTTTCTTTAATTTGAAACTTCAAAGTATGGTGTACCAGGTCCATTTGAGTATCGGAAAAACGATTTGCATGCATTTTTCATGATGAAAAAAGGCTCTCAACAGCATATGGAAATTGAAGAGTTTAAAAATTTTTCCAAATGCTTATAAACGCAGTTAGCCACATTTACACATGTTTACAAGCATTTGTTGTTTGAAACACTGCTAAATCTACTCCTGAATGCAAGTTTGTTGCGTTCAAAAAAATAACTGTAAACTCAACTGCCTGTAAACGACTGTAAACAACATAGTGTACATGGACACATAGGAAAACATTAGGGAGAGTTCAGGGGCTGCTGAAGAAAACGCAGAAAAGCTCCTGAATGTGAGTGTCAGCTTCAGTGTACATGGAGCCTAAGGCTTGGTGCTCCGCTAAAAACATCTTACTTGTGTAAATTTCACTCTTAACTGTTTTATGGTGCAGTTGTATACTTCCTCTTAGATACTATTTTTGTAATCTGCAGACTAGTGCTTCTCTGAGTGGTTTGCAACTATGTCCAGAGAGCAACCCCGGATTGTATTTCCCCTTTCTGACAACCAAGGATCTTTGTTTAAAGTGCATTCAAGGTCTAAATGAACAATCCCATGGGTGACTCCACGGCACAGCCATCATGCAACAAAAAAATATCGAACTGTGATAATAATAATAATAAAAAAACATGAATACCATTTTCCCCAAGCAATCCTGGTCACAAAACACAAAAGGCTCCTAGCCAGCTTGCTGTCTTCCAAGTGCCTCTTGGGGGATTGATGTCACCGGACTTCCATAGATTCACAGGAAACAATCCTTCATAAAACACTGCATCCCCTGACTCCCTCCAGTGCAACTGTCTCTGCGGTTTGCGCTCTGGAATGAATAATCTAACAGAAAGAATCAAAATGTTGTGAGTAGTTAAAACAAAAGAAACATCTTTTCTCAAACAAACTATGATGGCCCCTTACTGTGTGAACAGCCTGTTCTTGTCCTTGTCACATTTAGACACAATTGTATTGACAGCACTATATAAGTACCCGTAATAAATAAATACATTTAAAATATAAATATTAGCGAACTAAAGACTTTTTTCAGTTTCCTTAAATTAAATGCATTAATAATAAAGCTTGAGGGCAGCTACTTTGTTAAGAATTTGAAAATAATTTATTGATATAGAATTTGGACAAATGTGTGTCTTGGGGGGATGCAAGGGATGCCTAATGTCATGTAACAACATCAGTGGGTTGGCATCACCAAACTGGAAGAAGATGTCAATAATTGATAAGAAGTATTCCATGGCCCAGTGGGTTCAGAATAGCCCAGGGAATTTCTGTGGATTTTTCTCTTGCATTGAAGTAGAAACCTTATATTTTGGCATAACGATTAGATTGCAGTATTTAAAGTGTTACTAAACCCACAACAGTAAAATCAGTCTGTATATGCAGTAAAGCATGTTGTTATACTCACTGTGGAACCTCAGGGGTTAATCCTCTGCAATGTATAAAAAGGTTGTTTGATCCTGACTTCTCTGCCCATACTCTTGGTCAAATATCCACACTGATAAGACAGACTGAACCCGTAGCTCTTCTGCACATGCTCAGTTTAGTGTGTCGGAGACAAAACGAAAATGTAATTGGCGCAAGAGAGGTTGTGGTGGGTATAGAGTTCACTCAGAAAGTCTTAGGCGATATAAAAATAGTCCAGTTTTAAAACAAAAAATAAAAACGGGAGGTGGGGCATATGATTGTATATGGTAGTAGTGGAAGTACAAAATAAATAAAATGAATAGTGCAGCTTCAGTGGTAAGAGGAGGGGGGGGGGAAGGGGGGAAGAGGACTTGTAGTGCAGACAGTACTGGATTGGAATAGATGGTATATATATATATATATATATATATATATATATATATATATATGTGTATACATATATATACAAAGCTGCAATGTAGACACTGTCATGAGGCTTGCACACAGAGTTCTGTTTAGTGTGTATTGCTAGAGGTTTTTTTTTTTCTTGAGAGAGTGCATGTGATCAGCAAAGGGCCAATCAGCACTGTCCAGACAGAGGGTTAAGGGTCCTGCATCCTCCTGGAACAGAAAGAAAACTCCTCCTACAAGCTTTACCTAGTGCTCATCTGAAGTCACAAGACTGCTCTAACTGCTGATGAGCAAAGGTATTTAGCAGTTTATAGTTACTAAAATAATTGCACTTCCATGTTCTGTGGGAGACCAGATATAGTGAATGCAGGGTCCTGGGTTTAGTAACACTTTAATTATTATTATTTTTATTATCATCATTTTATCATATTATTTCCAATATTGTTCTAATTAGAAGCTCAGTAAGACAAATGCCAATATTGTTATTATTATTATTGTTATTAACCACTTGCCCTCCTAAGGATTTACCCCACTTCCTGACCAGGCCATTTTTTGCGTTACGGCACTGCATTATTTTGACTGACAATTGAGCGGTCATGCAACGCTGTGCCCACATGAAATGTACGTCCTTTTTTTCCCACGAATTGAGCTTTCTTTCGGTGGTATTTGATCGCCTGTGTGGTTTTTTGTTTTTTTGTGCTATTAAAAAATAAGTCTGACAATTTTGAGAAAAAAACTATATTTTTGACTTTTTGCTATTAAACATGTCCAGTAACAAAATTTTAAAAATCAAGTTTCGACATAAATTTAGACTAAAATGTATTCTGCTACATGTCTTTGCTAAAAAAAAAATCCCAATACGTGTAAATTAATTGGTTTACGTGAAAGTTATAGCATTTACAAATGGAGGTATAGATACTGGAATTTTTAAAATTTTTAATTTTTACTAGTAATGGATGTGATCAGCAAATAATAGCGGGACTATGGCGAACATTCCAACACTGGGTGGAACTGATTTGGTGTCACTGACATCCCCAGTGACACCAATACAGTGATCAGTGGTAATAAAAAGCACTGACACTGTACTAATGGCATTGGGCAGGAAGGGGTTAACAATGAGGGCGATCAAAGGGTTAACTGTGTGCAGGGAGTGTTTTACTAGGGGGCCTTGTCAGTGTGCTTCACTGTAATGACACTGCTCTGGATGGCTGTGCAAACAAAACAGTCCTCCTCCCCATCGGAGATCTTGGGAAATCCCCACGCGCCGGTGAGTAATTACCGGTCGGGACCCGGTGATTGACAGCCGCAGCCACAAATGGCAAGCGCGCGGCTTGTGCATGCCCCCTATCAGGGAATGCAAAAACACATATATATATACACACGTGATTTTACACACCTGTGCCACCTACTACTCTATTTAGAAGCGACATATGCTTCATACCATCTTATTATTGTTTTTGGAATTGTTATCGCCACTATTAGGCCTTATGCATAGAGGACATTTTCTAACTCTCCTAGAAGCCTTTCACTCTTGGCAGCAGAGTTTTGGCAGAAAAAAATGCCTCGTAAAAGCGTGTAATGCGTTTAAGCGCTTTTAGCCACAACAAGGGTTTAGTCTTTAATTCATTTATTGGCCAGAATAAATCCTTTTTTCTGGCCATTTAAATTAATTAATGCAAGTCTCTAATTGCGCCTAGGGTTAATGCGCATTTAGACGCGTTTAAAAACTTCCAAACCTCTGCTGCTCCTGGATGCACTGACAATGTTTTTTTCCTGCCTCTAAACATCTCTGGCATTTTGATAACGCTGGTAACGTTAGCTGTCGAAGTCACATTAAAAACGTGAGGTTTTTCAGCTTTTTTTAGCGGTTTTGCATTACCATTTAGCGGCATTTTGCCGTGATTAGCAGTGTTTTCCTGCATTTTTCCACATTTGCATTTTGTTGGCAGTTTTTAGCTTTTTTTACCCCCCCCCCCCCATTTTATTTTGGTAAAAAAAACATCCAGAAACACTGGTTTGAGGCGTTTTACTGTGTTTTGACGTGATTTTTAAGCATTAGATCGTTTTTATAGCTAAAAAAACCCACTAGTCCTGGGGTTTTTTTACAGCCAAAAAACATCCCAACAAAAAATGTTGATTACAGTCTGTGTGCGCATGGACATCTAGGATAACATGCTGGGGGGTTTACTAGCTGTAGAAAAAAACGGCAAAAGCCAAAAACAGCAGCTGTAATAACGTCAAGTGTGCATGAGGGCTAAGTGTGCATGGACACATAGGCTAACATGCAGGGGAGTTCAGAGGCAGGGGAAAAAAAAACGCAGACGCCTGAAGAAACAGCTGTAAAAACATCCAGTGTGCATGAGGCCTTACTAGTACTAAACTGATATATTGAGCATGTGTTGTTGTTATTTATATTACTATACAGGATTTATATAGCGCCAACAGCTTGTGCAGTGCTTTTTAATACTCAGTACGGTTACAATGGAATTCAAGACAAGAAGGGTTATAACATATAAGTATTACTGGTATTACGTTTGTTGCACTTCGTTCTTAAGTGATTAAAATATAATCTTTGTTCTTGGGATTGTTATAAATGCTTATTATAAAAATAAAATAAATGAAGTTTTCATTCTGAAAGACTCAAACAACAAAAGTACTATTAATAACCTAATTATCATAGTGTTGATGATTATTAAAGCTGAACTTCTGGCAGATATGTAAAAAAAATAGTGCAATTGTATATTCATTAAAGTAATTAAAAGTATTTTTAAATTAAACTAATTACCAGAATCTGTCTTCATGTCAGCCTCATACCAACCCCTCTGCGTGGAAATCAGATTGGGAGAGGGAGGGACAGCAGAAGGAACCAATCAGATGTGCTGCTATATGAACACTTGCAAACATAGAACGTGCTGATAGGGAGGAGGGAGGTGACCTCATCAGACTACTGATACTCCCTCACTGGCCAATCACAAGCTGGGGCAAGGAGGTGATGAAGCTGTAGAACGTGGACTGTCTATCACAATCCACTACACTGCGTAACTGCAGAAGAGAGAAAGCCAAGCCACCAATCTGGCTGTGCTATTTGTCAGACTTTGTAAATCTCAGGACTGGATGGACAGAAATACAGAACCTCTGCAGGTAAAACAGTTCACATATACTATATGTATGTTAAGAGTTTATCTGTTTACAAGGGCGGCATTACTGAGCTGGTTGCTAGCATTCTGGTGCTGCCTGCACTATAACAAATAATGATGCTGTGCAGCCCAGCTGCCTGCATCCCAGCAACCAGTGACTCTGTGTAGTCCAGTCACCAGCGTCCTAGCAACCAATGATGCACAGCCCCATGGCGTCACTTGTCACTAGGATGCTGGTGGGTAGGCCACAGCATCATTGCATCTGAAAGGGGAAGGGGGTCAGCAAAAATGGCCACCTCAGGCAGCAATTAACCTTGGCAATTTTCTTATCTGCTGCCAGTTTTATAGAACCTTACACATGAAATCCACTCACTTCCTACAACTGCAGCATCTGGGAGCAATAGTGGGCCAATCATATGACTAGGAAATAACAATTTTCAGGGATGCATTTCAGGAAACCATGTTTGAATACATTATTGTAGAATTTCATAGCTAGCAATATATTAAACCAGAAAGGTGTTAACACCAAATTATAAAATTGTTTGTGTATGACAGTTAGATATTTCATTTCAAAATTTTACAGGTTAAATCAAAGCAAATAACCTCTGCTCCGCTTCAGAGTTGATTTCTTGCTCAGAATCATATAATGCAGCTGAAGATCATACAGAACGTTTGTGGGTTTTCTTTACGTCATATGTGGCATACGTATAGTAAATGCATCTTGCGTGCATCTCAAATGTCCAAGGGGTTGATTTGCTAAAGGCAAATAGACTGTGCACTTTGCAAGTGCAGTTGCTCTAAAGCAGGGTTTCCAAACTTTTCAAACAATGGGCTAGTGTATTTTCCTTTAGACTTTCAGATTGTGGCCAGCTGGTGAAGAAAATGTCCCGGGACCAGCATCAGTGAGAATACAAGGCCTCAGGGTTAGTGGTCAGTAGGAGGAAGATTAATGATTAATAGTGACCCATCATTGGTATCAGTGGGAGAAATAGTGCCTCATCATTGGTATCAGTGGGAGGAATAGTGCCCCATCATTGGTATCAGTGGGAGGAATAGTGTCCCATCATTGGTATCAGTGGGAGGAATAGTGTCCCATCATTGGTATCAGTGGGAGGAATAGTGCCCCATCATTGGTATCAGTGGGAGGAATAGTGCCCATCATTAGGTATCAGTGGGAGGAATAATGCCCCATCATTGGTATCAGTGGGAGGAATAGTGCCCCATCATTGGTATCAGTGGGAGTATATAGCACATCATTGGTCTCGGTGAGGAATAGTGCCCCATTGTTGGTGTCAGTGGGAGGAATAGTGTCCCATCATTGGTATCAGTGAGAGAAATAGTGCCCCATCATTGGTATCAGTGGGAGGTATAGCACATTGTCATTGGTCTCGGTGGAAGGAATAGTGCTCCATTGTTGGTGTCAGTGGGAGGAATAGTGTCCCATCATTGGTATCAGTGGGAGAAATAGTGCCCCATCATTGGTATCAGTGGGAGGAATAGTGCCCCATCATTGGTTTCAGTGGGAGGTATAGCACATTGTCATTGGTCTCAGTGGAAGGAATAGTGCTCCATTGTTGGTGTCAGTGGGAGGAATAGTGTCCCATCATTGGTATCAGTGGGAGGAATAGTGCCCCATCATTAGTATCAGTGGGAGGAATAGTGCCCCATCATTGGTATCAGTGGGAGGAATAGTGCCCCATCATTGGTATCAGTGGGAGGTATAGCACATTGTCATTGGTCTCGGTGGAAGGAATAGTGCTCCATTGTTGGTGTCAGTGGGAGGAATAGTGTGTCCCATCATTGGTATCAGTGGGAGAAATAGTGCCCCATCATTGGTATCAGTGGGAGGAATAGTGCCCCATCATTGGTGTCAGTGGGAGGTATAGCACATTGTCATTGGTCTCAGTGGAAGGAATAGTGCTCCATTGTTGGTGTCAGTGGGAGGAATAGTGTCCCCATCATTGGTATCAGTGGGAGGAATAGTGCCCCATCATTGGTATTAGTAGGAGGAATAGTGTCCCATCATTGGTATCAGTGGGAGGTATAGTGCCCCATCATTAGTATCAGTGGGAGGAATAGTTCCCAACATTGGTATCAGTGGGAGGAATAGTGCCCCATCATTGGTATCAGTGGGAGGTATAGCACATTGTCATTGGTCTCAGTGGAAGGAATAGTGCTCCATTGTTGGTGTCAGTGGGAGGAAGAGTGCCTCATATCATTGGGAGCAATAGTGCCCCAAGGGCCAGAGGGCCACATCCAGCTCCTGACATGCAGTTTGGAGACCCCTGCTCTAATTCCTAGAGTGTAAGCTCTAACGAGCAGGGCCCTCTGTTTCCTCTTGTACCAAATTGTATTGTAACTGTAATGTCTGCCTTCATTTTGTAAAGCTCTGTGCAAACTGTTGGTGCTGTATAAAATCCTGTATAATAATAATAATAAAGCATAGTAAATGAGATTGAGCTTCACTTTGCAAAGAATACCTACTCATGTACAAAGCAAAAAAAAAAAAAAAACATTATTTTTGATTGAACATGATTGGATGATGAAAGAACTTCCCCTTATTTACTAAACTCTGGTGAAAATGCACTTGCAAAATGCACAGTCTATTTGCCTTTAGTAAATCCACCTGTAAGTTGTACAAGCCCAAAATTAGTAGTATGTTCCTATAAACTCTTGAACCATTGGATAGGAAATGCTAGCACAGAGTGTACTACATCATCCACTACTGGACAAGGTGCATACCATTTTCTACTGCCGTTTTCCTTTAGATTGTAAGTTCCTTTGAGCAAGCCTTCTTGATTGTTGTAGCCAGCCTCAGTTTTTAATGCCCAGTACACAAGGACTCGTTGTAATCTCAGTTTGTGAACACTAGGGCGTTCAGCCACTCACGACTTTACAGATGCCATAGCTGAGGCAAAAATTAAATGACATGTCACATTTGGTGGACAGAATGTAACCCATTTAATGCACACGGCCCATTCAATACATCTTTTTGTGGCACGTTGGGTCTTATTCTCGGAATTAAAATAGGTGGTGAGTAGACGACATTTTGCCTCCTAACCACTTCTCCCCACACCTACCTCTGTGGTAGTTTGCTTTTCTGAGGGTTGGGAAAGGGCATGTGCCCATTTGAATGATCCCTTTTAGCTGAACTTAGGTCACATATATGCAGACAAATAGATACTTTGTCCTTGCTCTTGCTGGCTTCTTTCTCTCCGGTTCTGGACTGGATGACCAGTTCCATGAAGTTGATCTTCTTCTCTTGGTCTGGTGGCCATGTCCTTGCCAACGTCATCATGTACAATGAAAGACCAATGGCCACCTCTGGGCTTGATTGGAGTTCAGCTTTAATTAGCAGGCTAGGCTTATGATGAATCTTGACATTTACATATCGGTCAAGGTAAAAAGGAAACCTGTGCTGAATGAAATCTGGGTGCTGCCCATACTAAAACTCTTCTGAAAAAGTATGACTTTTTGGGCTGTTTCTGAGCCCTGTACTTTCTGGGACCGTGATCTAGAATGTTCGTGCAGTCAATGGCATAGGACTCCTGATCTGTATTATTGTAAGCCAGATCAATGACTTAGAAAGTGTTGAAGACCTTGGGTCAGCATGAGAACCATACAGCTAGCAATTTTAGAAGGACGGGTCACAACTGGCAGCCTCCTTCAAGTTTCCTTGAGTTAAGGTTAAGGGTTTAGTTTAGGAGTTACATTAGTTAAGGTCAGTAACTTATTATTAGCCTTCTGGTCTGATAAATTTGCACTGAATCATCACATTCATTACAAACCTGGATGCCAAATATATATGGCCTAAGAAAAGACATCCACGTACATATTATTGCTGATGAGCATTTGTGTGCTGAAATTTGTGGTGCTGAAACTCGAATGCTCAAAAAAAAACCACACAGATTTTAAGAAAATGATGATTCAAGTAGTTGTAAACCCTAACTTTAAATAATCTAATTTGTTACAGCACTATGTATCATAAAGTATTTTATTCTTAATAAATATAAAAATAATTATTTTCAGCAATTTAGTTTTTTTCATTCTCTGTTGCAGTCTCATTGCTGCTGATCCACTGCAGCTCACCTGCTTTTTTCGGTAAACATGCATTTCTGTGTATGTGTATGGAATGGCCACCTTAATTATCACCTTAAAACAGGAAGTGCTTAAACAAGGACCTTTAAGCCAGGATCACCAGATATAATTTTAAAGGAAGATGTAGGTTTTAAAATCTTGAACATTGCTTTTATAGTTACAACATAGTAAAGCTTATAGGGGATTTCAGTGACTGGGTTTACATATATATTATATACTTGAATGTGCTACTTTTAAACTGCAGGTGGGCTTACAGCTGTGTTGGTAGGCAGGTTTTTATTCAAATAATAGTCATTTACATATAATTTACAGGAAGCGGCTTAGGTTTTTAATACAATGAAACAGTAGGTACATTATTTGCTAAATGATATATCCAGAACCTCTGCTAAGCACAGTCTCTAAACGAAATTTCAGTGCAAATAAAAAAAAGACAAAATTGTATCCTTCTACTGGTCAAGCATACATAGAATTACAAGAAATTAGGAAATGTGCAATTAAAAATACAAAAAACGATATATATATATGTACTTTATTTGCCAAAAGTATTGGGATGTCTGCCTTTACACGTTCATGAACTATAATGGCATCTCAGCCATAGTCCATAGGGTTCAATATTGAGTTGGCCCACCCTTTGCAGCTATAACAGCCATTCTTCCAGAAGCGCATTTGTGAGGTCAGGCAGTGATGTCAGACGAGAAGGCCTGGCTCGCAGTCTCCGCTCTAATTCACCCCAAAGGTGTTCAATCAGGTTGAGGTCAGGACTCTGTGCAGGCCAGTCAAGTTCCTCCACCCCAAACTCACTCATCCATGTCTTTATGGACCTTGCTTTGTGCACTGATGCACAGTCATGTTGGAACAGGAAGGGGCCATCCCCAAGCTGTTTCCACAAAGTTGGGAGCATGAAATTGTCCAAAATGTCTTGGTATGCTGACGCCTTAAGACTTTCCTTCACTGGAACTAGGGGGCCAAGCCCAACCCCGGAAAGACAACCCCACAACATAATGTCCCCCTCCACCAAACTTTACACTTAGCACAAGGCAGTCAGGCAAGTATTGTTCTCCTGGCAACCACCAAACCCAGACACGTCCATTGGAATTGTCAGAGAAGTGTAATTCGTCACTCTAGAGAACACATCTCCACTGCTCTAGAGTCCAGTGGCGACGTGCTTTACACCACTGCATCTGACGCTTTGTTTTGCCCATTACCCATTCCATGAAGCTCTCTACACACTGTTGTTGTGCTAATCTGAAGGCCACACAAAGTTTGGAGGTCTTTAGCTATTGACTCTGCAGACAGTTGGCGACTTCTGTGCACTGTGTGCTTCAGCATGCTCTGACCCCGCTCTGTCATTTTACATGGCCTACCACTTTGTGGCTGAGTTGCTGTTGTTCCCAGTTGCTTCCACTTCATTATAATATCACTAACAGTTGAATATTTAGTAACAAGGAAATTTCATGAATGGACTTATTGCACAGGTGGCAACCTATCACGGTACCACGCTTGAATTCACTGAGCTCCTGAGAGCGACCCATTCTTTCACAAATATTTGTAGAAGCAGTCTGCATGCCTAGGTGCTTGATTTTATAGACCTGTGGCCATGGAGGTGATTGGAACACCTGAATTCAATGATTTGGAGGGGTGTCCCAATACTTTTTGTATTATAGTGTATGTCTATATCTATCTATCTACTATATATATATATATTGTAACCACCTTGTGGCATTCCATTTAGAAAATGATTAAACAGGTATTCTTATTCAAAAATATATTTTTATTTATATAGTCTCCTTTAACTTTTTAGATGGCAGAGCTTCTAACAAGAATAGTAGTATGAATAAAATAATAATACCCTAAGATTTTTCTTGTATTGAATTGTATTGTAACTGTACTGTCTGCTATCATTTTGTAAAGCAGTGTGCAGCCTGTTGGTGCTATTTAAATCCTGTATACAAATAATAATAATAATAATAATTTTTTTTTAAATAATATTAGTAGTAGTAGTAGTAGTATTGTTATACAGCATATAGCCTCCTCTAATTTATTAGATGGCATTTATGCTCTTTGATTTCTAACTAAAATAGCAGTAAAATAGTATTTATTATTATTATTATTATGATTATTATTATTCAGGATATAGTCTCATTAAGCCCATTAGATGGCATTTGTTTTACTTGGTTTCTAACTAAAATAGTATTATCAGTAAACAAATGATTTATTATTAGCATTTTTTCTATACCGTAGCCCATTCCATATTTTTTCTATGTGGTTTTCAGCTAGAAAAGTAGCAGGTGTAAACTACTACTTACTAATTATTATTATTATTACTATTATTATGGTGCTTCCCCAACTTGTTTGTTGGTTTTTATTCTACTTGGAATCCAACTTGTAGGACTAAAAATGATGAATATAATAATTATTATGATTATTGTTGTTATTATACAGCCTCTCTCAGCCCATTTAGTGGCATTTATTCTACCTTGTTTCCAACTAAAATAGTAGTGGGAGTAAGCAGAATCTATTATTATTATTATACCGTATATAGCCCATCAGATGCCATTTCTCCTACTAGTCTTTTAATAAATAGCAGGAGGAATAGAAACACTAAAGCAAGAGCAGCAAATGCTTGCCCTGTAATTAGAGTGCGCAGTGATGGCGCCCCCGGCAGCAGTGGCGGAGTACAGAGGCTCGTCCAGTGACAGCAGTGTGTGGGTGGAAGGAGGGAAGGGTTAAGCAGGGCTGTGGATGGCAGGCAGGCGGGCGGTGCGGGCGGTGAGGCCGGTGGGAGGGAGGGCTGTGTGCAGTGCCGGGTGAGGTGGAGGAGGATTAGTGTGCGGGGAGGGAGGCTGGGACACTCAGACATTACTGCAGAGACGAGGAAGGAGGACGGGCCGCCCGGAGATCGCTGGATTTGGAGGGACAATGTGGAGTCTTTGTGTTCGGGGCGGAGAGGACGGAGGAGAGGAGCTCCGGGGGTGAGTGCGGCCGGCCGGCATTGTTCGGGGAGATGGTGGTTACATTGTATCTTCGGATCAGCCTTGTGTCTGACTCCGCCAGCCTGGGAGGAGGTGGAGGGAGGCTGGAGAGGGGGGATCGGGGGGATGAATGTACACCGCCTGATCTGCTCTATGCAGGGTCGGGGACCCCCACCCCTCTACACCCTCACCAAAGTTTTCTGGGCTCAGGGGTGGCAGGGTGTTGAGATCAGGGGTGTTGTTGTGGGAGCAAGGATTGCCGAGTGCTAGGATGGCAGGGTGCTGGGATTAGGGGTGGCAGGGTTCTGCTGTGGTGAGAGCAGGGATGGCAGGGTGCTGGAACTGGATGTGGCAGGGTGCTGGGCTCAGGGGTGGCAGGTTGGTGGGATGGCAGGGTGCTGAAAAACAGGATGTGGCAGGGTACTGGACTGAGAGGTGGTAGGATCAGGGGTGGCAGAGTGCTGTTGTAGCAGGGTGGTGGGAGCAGGAATTGCTGGGTGCAGGGATCAGGGATGGCAGGGTGGTGAGAGCAGGGATTGCTGGGATCAGGGGTGACAGGGTGCTGGGATCAGGGATGTCAGGGTGGTAGGAGCAGGGATTGCTGGGATCAGGGGTGGCAGGGTGGTAGGAGCAGGGATTGCTGGGATCAGGGGTGGTAGGAGCAGGGATTGCTGGGATCAGGGGTGGCAGGGTGCTGGAGCTGGATGTGGCAGGGTGCTGAGATCAGGGGTGGCAGGGTGCTGGAGCTGGATGTGGCAGGGTGCTGAGATCAGGGGTGGCAGGGTACTTGAAACAGGATGTGTCAGGCTGCTGGGCTCAGGGTGTCAGGATGCTGGGCTCAGGGGTGTCAGGATGCTGGGCTCAGGGGTGTCAGGCTGCTGGGCTCAGGGGTGTCAGGATGCTGGGCTCAGGGGTGTCAGGATGCTGGGCTCAGGGGTGTCAGGATGCTGGGCTCAGGGGTGTCAGGATGCTGGGCTCAGGGGTGTCAGGCTGCTGGGCTCAAGGGGCAGAGTGCTGTTATGGCAGGGTTCTGCGATTAGGGGTGCTTGGAAGCCAGGGTGCTGACAACAGGGTGCAGAGATTCCAGGGTGCTGGAAGCGAAGGTGGCAGGTTGCACAGATACCAGGGTGCTGAGAGCAGGGCACAGGGATTCCAGGGTGCTGGGAGCAGAGATGGTAGGGTGCTGGGATGCCAGGGTGCTGGGAGCAGAGATTGTAGGGTGCTGGGAGCAGAGATGGTAGGGTGCTGGGAGCAGAGATGGTAGGGTGCTGGGATGCCAGGGTGCTGGGAGCAGAGATTGTAGGGTGCTGGGAGCAGAGATGGTAGGGTGCTGGGCTGCCAGGGTGCTGGGAGCAGAGATGGTAGGGTGCTGGGATGTCAGGGTGCTGGGAACAGAGATGGTAGGGTGCTGGGGAACAGAGATGGTAGGGTGCTGGGATGCCAGGGTGCTGGGAACAGAGATTGTAGGATGCTGGGAACAGAGATTGTAGGGTGCTGTGATGCCAGGGTGCTGGGAGCAGAAATGGTAGGGTGCTGGGATGCCAGGGTGCTGGGTGCTGGGAGAGAGATGGTAGGGTGCTGGGAGCAGAGATGGTAGGGTGCTGGGAACAGAGATGCTGGGATGCCAGGGTGCTGGGAGCAGGGCAGGCTGGGCACCCAGAAATGACAGGCTGGGCACACTTACCAGCTTGGGTGCCCCCTTGTGTGAGCAGGAAGTGTGGCTTTGTGATCAGACCTCTGGCTCAGGGGCTCATGGAAATGAGGTAATGCTGCACCTTGGGAATCTGGCACAGTGACATTTCAGGGGAGGACTGCCACCCAGGGGCCCAACCCCCACCTCCCCAGGATGGAGAGCAGGTCACAGAAGTCCAGACTAGTTACTTACAGGAAAAAGGCCAGTAATCATTAACCTGAGGAGGGGGCACGGATGTTGCACACACATCTTGGGTGTCACACTGCAAGATTTGACTCATCAGGGCAGGGGGCTGTCAGATTGAGGTTAGCTGTATGTAGCATGCACAGGATATGAACTTGTAGCGATTTTGTTACACGACACTAATATTGTTACATGACACGATTTCTACTGGACAGACGTGCAGATCATGGAACGCTCAGCATGGTATAGAGATGACTCTTTGAGCCAGTGACCTGTTTTGCTCAGAGTAGAATGTCAGCATTTGTGAGTTTTGCATGGTGGCATGTCTGGTGACTGATTCCTTCAGCAGGCTTATGCTTTGCCTATAAGTATTACTATTATTTTAATATTAAAATATGACTGAGGACATATTGTGACTTCTGCTCGCTTTATTATTATGCATAGAATGCAGTGATGAAGTGCTAGCTCTTTGGGCTAAGAGATCATATTATGAGCTACAAGTAAAAACCTTCTATTCATTTGTTGTGCTTGGTGGGGCTTGTTTTAGACTTAAGTATTTTTGCATCACTTTTTTTTTTTTAACTGTTTTTAGTTGGGGCAGCTAGACATTAAAAGACATCGTGTATAGGCTGATTGCTGATCCTTATGCTTTGAAAATGCTGTTTGCCTGGCTGTTGCAAAGCCATTGACCTGGAACAAGTGTTAAAGTGACACTAAACTCTGTTTACTAAAACAAAATCTATTCAAGTATGTACTCCTAACTCAAAAAATACCTTTTGTTGCTCTTCACTTCCTTCAGTTTTTTTTTTTTTTTTTTCAATATCGTATTCTGACTTCCTGTTAGAGTGTGGCTACGTTCGTTTTCCATGTCCCCACTGTATGACTAGCCACCCTCTCTTCTTGCTGGCTTCCAAGATGGACTGGAGACTATGGACATAGTGTGCATAGAGAAGTGCACATGACTGCAACTAACATGCACTGCTCCTTCCAAAGAAACAGAAGTGAGAGGGAAAAGGAGATGTTCAGGAGCTCACAGTAAGAAATGATTTAATGAAATATAGATTAATAGATAAAAATAGACAAAAGTATCAGATGTGTATAGATTGTTTTTTGAGAATAATGGGACTGTTTAGTGTCACTTTGAGACTTTCCTGACCTCACTAGCTGCATGCTGGTTCAGGGGTCAGTGAGTCCAAAACTCTGGGGCTGGAGCCCGCCCGGAAACTTGCATACTCAGAAGGAGAGGTCAGCAGTGTCGTTTTTATTTCTTTAGCTGTGGTTTTGCTTTAAGGCATGGGGGCCATGCTTTGGTCTGAGTGTGTAGATGCAGTATGTTGCAACACCTATTGTACTGTTATTGGCTGGAAGTATTTTACAGTATTTTGTGCTTAGCTGGAGGGTGGAAATGGCAGACAAGCCCTTCTAGGATGTGATAGTCATAATGACAACATATATGCGCAGGGAACGCTTAGGACTGCACGTGGTCACTTTTTCCTGAATGAATTTGTGTTGGGGCAACTGACAGATCTGTAATATGGTGCATAAGACCTATAACAAGCTTGTTATCTGCTGGTCCAAACTGAGGGCTGAAAAGAATTCTCATTTTATTTTTTCCCAGTGCAGTCAGGATAATTTGATATGATACCTGTTGGTTGCTATAGGCTGCTCCACATTGGGAATTGCTGTTGGCCATGTTAAATAATATCGATGGAGACCGAATACACGTAGGGAC